TTTATATCCCTAGTAGTGTACACTACATATCAACAGACAGTTAATATGTGTACTAGTGTATGGGACACATCTAAAGACAGTTGATATGTGTACTAGTGTATGGGACACATCTAAAGACAGTTGATATGTGTAGAAGTGTACAGTACACATCTACACACAGTTGATATATGTAGGAATGTACGGTACACATCTATGTGTAGTATAGTGTACGGTACACATCCACAGACAGTTGATATGTGTAATAATGTACGGTACACATCTATGTGTAGTATAGTGTACGGTACACATCTGCATACAGTTGATATGTGTAGAAGTGTACAGTACACATCTACAGAGAGTTGATATATGTAGTAGTGTACGGTACACATCTACAGACAGTTGATATAGGTAGTAGTGTACGGTACTCATCTACAGACAGTTTATATGTGTAGTAGTGTACAGTACACATCAACACACAGTAAATATGTGTACTAGTGTATGGTACACATCTACAGACAGTTGATATGTGTACTAGTGTATGGTACACATCTACAGACAATTGATATGTGTAGTAGTGTACGGTACACATCTACAGACAGTTGATATATATAGTAGTGTATGGTACACATCTACAGACAGTTGATATGTTTAGTAGTGTATAGTACACATCAACAGACAGTTGATATATGTAGTAGTGTACAGTACACATCTACAGACAGTTGATATATATAGTAGTGTATGGTACACATCTACAGACAGTTAATATGTTTAGTAGTGTACTGTACACATCAACAGACAGTTGATATATGTAGTAGTGTACAATACACATCTATAGACAGTTGATATATATAGTAGTGTACAGTACACATCTACAGACAGGTGATATATGTAGTAGTTTATGGTACACATCTAAAGACAGTTGATATGTCTAGTAGTGTACGGTACACATCAACAGACTATATGTAGTAGTGTACAATACACATCTACAGACAGTTATTATGTTTAGTAGTGTAAAGTACACATCAACAGACAGCTGACATATGTATTAGTGTACGGTACTCATCTGCAGACAGTTGATATAATAGTAGTGTATGGTACACATCTACAGACAGTTGATATGTGTAGAAGTGTACAGTACACATCAACAGACAGTTGACATATGTATTAGTGTACGGTACTCATCTACAGACAGTTGATATATGTACTAGTGTACAGTACACATCTACAGACAGTTGATATGTGTAGTAGTGTACAGTACTCATCTACAGACAGTTGATATATGTAGTAGTTTATGGTACACATCTACAGACAGTTGATATATATAGTAGTGTATGGTACTCCTCCACAGACAGTTGATATGTTCAGTAGTGTACAGTACACATCTACAGACAGTTGATATATATAGTAGTGTACGGTACACATCTACAGACAGTAGTGTACGGTACACACTACAGACAGTTGATATATGTAGTAGTGGACGGTACACATCTACAGACAGTACAGACAGTTGATATATGTAGTAGTGGGCGGTACACATCTACAGACAGTTGATATATGTTGTAGTGTATGGTACACATCTACAGACAGTTAATATGTTTAGCAGTGTACAGTAGACATCAACAGACAGTTGATATATGTAGTAGTGTACAGTACACATCTACAGAGAGTTGATATGTGTAGTAGTGTACGGTACACACTACAGACAGTTGATATATGTAGTATTGTGCAGTACACATCTATAGACAGTTGATATATATAGTAGTGCACAGTACACATCTACAGACAGTTGATATATGTAGTAGTGTACAGTACACATCTACAGACAGTTGATATATATAGTAGTGTATGGTACACATCTACAGACAGTTGATATGTTTAGTAGTGTACAGTACACATCTACAGACAGTTGATATATATAGTAGTGTATGGTACACATCTACAGACAGTTGATATGTTTAGTAGTGTACAGTACACATCAACAGACAGTTGATATATGTAGTAGTGTACGATACACATCTACAGACAGTTGATATATGTAGTAGTGTACAGTACACATCTACAGACAGTTGATATATATAGTAGTGTATGGTACACATCTACAGACAGTTGATATGTTTAGTAGTGTACAGTACACATCAACAGACAGTTGATATATGTAGAAGTGTACGGTACACATCTACAGACAGTTGATATGTTTAGTAGTGTACAGTAAACATCAACAGACAGTTGATATATGTAGTAGTGTACAGTACACATCTACAGACAGTTGATATATATAGTAGTGTACGGTACACATCTACAGACAGTTGATATGTGTAGTAGTGTACGGTACACATCTACAGGCAGTTGATATGTGTAGTAGTGTACGGTACACATCTACAGGCAGTTGATATATGTAGTAGTGTACGGTACACATCTACAGACAATTGATATATGTAGTAGTGTACGGTACACATCTACAGACAGTAGATATGTGTAGTAGTGTACGGTACACATCTACAGGCAGTAGATATGTGTAGTAGTGTACGGTACACATCTACAGGCAGTTGATATGTGTAGTAGTGTACGGTACACATCTACAGGCAGTTGATATGTGGAGGAGTGTACGGTACACATCTACAGGCAGTTGATATGTGTAGTAGTGTACGGTACACATCAACAGACAGTTGATATATGTAGTAGTGTATGGTACACATCTACAGATAGTTGAAATATGTAGTAGTGTACGGTACACATCTACAGACAGTTGATATGTTTAGCAGTGTACGGTACACATCTACAGACAGTGGATATGTGTAGTAGTGTACGGTACATATCTACAGACAGTTGATATGTTTAGTAGTGTACGGTACACATCTACAGACAGTTGATATGTGTAGTAGTGTACGGTACATATCTACAGACAGTTGATATATGTAGTAGTGTACAGTACACATCTACAGACAGTTGATATGTGTAGTTGTGTATGGTACACATCTACAGATAGTTGAAATATGTAGTAGTGTACGGTACACATCTACAGACAGTTGATATATTTAGTAGTGTACGGTACACATCTACAGACAGTAGATATGTGTAGTAGTGTACGGTACACATCTACAGACAGTTGATATATGTAGTAGTGTACGGTACACATCTACAGACAGTTGATATATGTAGTAGTGTATGGTACACATCTACAGACAGTTCATTGAACACCGGAAAGATACGGAAACCGAAGAGGGAAAGAAATGCACCCAATCAGAAAGGAAGCAGTCTGAGGACCATATCTGGGATAACTCAAAAAGTTGGACAGCGATAGCATATTTTCAAGTGGAAGACAAGGGAAGTAATCTTGGTTAAATGCAACGTGCTGAATCGATATGGGGGAAGGGGGTAAAATGTTGCCGAATTGATTTTTGTCGGTGCAATTCCCCAGTTAATACATGTATAGTAACTAAGTGTACGTTTTTGCGTACATGCACGCTTCACTGCCATGGCCATTTGTCTGATAAAAGGTTGACATACAGTACTATTCATCGAAACGTTACACACAAACACTCAACATCGAAACGTCACACACAAACACTCAACATCGAAACGTCACACACAAACACTCAACATCGAAACGTCACACACAAACACTCAACTGGTTGTGCGACATAAAACTGTCTACAGGATATATATTTCCTTTTGAAGACGGCAGGAATCATTGTAGTGAAACCATCTCGGATTAACTCAATTACCTGTCTTATTATTTTGAAATATGATAAGGATGATAAATAACTTAGTGGGGTACTGACCATAGGTAACTAGTGACATTTGTCACTCAAATCCTCAATAACTTACCCGGATTTCGTAATTTCATGTTTAACCACAATATTATGTAAATGAGCTAAGTTATTGATGTTTTGGAAATTTCAGTAGACAATATTTCACTCTTAGTCCAAAAGTTGTCAATGATTTCAAAGTTAGCCTTATCAGAGACGTACATATACACGTCCCTGGCCTTATCTACCCTTACTCATTGTTTCAGAAAAAGCTGCACGTTTTAGTTTGGGCATTTTGTTAACATACTGTACAACGATATTGACATTTTTATTTTTATTTCTAAACAAGTTAAAGGCCACATACGACAAAATAAGCCACAGGAATGAAAAAAAAATGTCTGAGGTTGCGTTCCATATCCATGCACATTTTCGGAACCATTTTCCAAGAATCTTAATTGTTTGGAAATTCACATATGTTGAGGAAAACACGGCAATGCTCGACGCCGCTTTTTAAATTATACCGGAACTTGTGGGTTTTTTTCATCAAAATATTTTAATGCTTACAATAAAAAAGCATATAATACCTTGTTAATTTTGTTAAATCAGAAAGCTTAATTGCACCACAGAATAAGCCTAGCTATCTATAACGCCGTAATTGTACACTAAAAATGCCCAAATTAAGATCGCACCAGATCACTAGGTTTTATACATGTTACCGAACACAGGGATCTGATAATTTGCTATATTTGGACCTTAACTAAGATATTCAAAGTAATTGTACACATTCTATGGGTTAAGTTCAACTTTCCGTACCTACTCCATCTAAACCACTAACACGTGTAAAATTACTCTGAACATCTTAGTTTAGGTCAAGCTGTGACAAATTATCAGGTCCCTGTGCTCCCGGATTGACATGCATTAGGAGTAGACACATATATACAGATATCAGTTCAATGCACTTCCCTCCTCTTTCTTTAAAATCCATGGACCCGTTCCTGCTTTCCATTATATTCTACCACAGACTTACAAGTGTATATAAAGTTATATACCGGGAGGCCGAGTAGATATCTGGTTTCCGTAAAGGAAACCGCTCTTGTAAATGTAGAAATATTCCATTTAAGAAGGAATGTGTACCAGTGGTACTCTAAGTAATAATACTGTCATTATATAAATTAGTTTATTTGATCAAATACGGTAGGCAGAAGCGATACAACGGTGATGGTGAATGGTTAGCTCTAAAACTTTTGACCAATGGAAATGCGTGTTGCTTACGCAGACAAGGAAGTGGAGATCTTTTTAAGAAAGTTTGTCAAGTATTTTCTTCCTGGATGGTGGATGGTGGCGAACACTCCATTTGATGTCCATCCTATAGGGAAATTCTCAAGATGGCGTTGATGTTCGAAAGCATCAGAAACATTTTCAGCGGTTTGTATAGAAATAATCGTCATTGAACTATTAATATTGTCTCAGCAGGGGGCGGGGCAGTTTGTTTATAAACATTCGATATCCACGTGTGAAGCTGAAGGGGGATTTTAACTAATTTTCACAAGTCACAACAGGAACACACATTTTAAAATGTGTGTGTACTCAATCATCAGCATTGATGTCGAAGTAGAATAATATAAAGAAGAAGGTAAACTACAGATGACCTGGACTAGTCCGCTAAAACTTAACATAATCAGTTCGGTTCAAAAATTCTGATTGGTCGATTAATTGTTTACGGACTAAATATGGACATACATTCCTCAAGTCACTCACACCAGATTTTTTCCCAATTTCGACATAACATATATCATGTGTGACAGATAAAAATATGATAGTTTAACAACTTTGAAATATACACTGTATATGAATGTTTGTAGCCAGGTTGGGTCGGGTGTGCAGAGCCGGACAATTCAGTTGTTCAGTTAATTATTTAGAGCATCTTTCGACATAGGAGTGTTAACCTTATTTATTCATTTATTTATGAATAATAATAAGTTCTTATAACATATTTTAAGACCCGTTATTGTGCTTTTATTCATGTTAAAACAACTTCTTAAAGGCGTTATATCACAGGAGTTTGAAATTCTTTCAAAAATTACTAATAACAGTAATACAAAAAATTGTGCTTGAAAAAGTTACGAAATTTTAAATACATTATGCTTTTTTGCTTAATAACATCCTTTTGTTTTTAATCAGTGAATAATAAGATTTTAAAATGCTATTTTCTGTTTTAAAGTTGACCTACCCAGGCGTTCATAGGTGAAATTGGTATGGTCATAATCATGGGATAATTCAGATCATGTGTTCGAATCAAAATTGATTAAACACCATGCTAGCTAGTCTTTGCGGTTCGAAAATCATTGACAGAGACTTCCTGTTGTTTATTTTTCTATCCAAAAAAATTGTTTGTAATATCACAGAATCAGATTACTTAGATTGCTATGGAAGTCCGTGGTGATGTACAATATTTTACCAGTGATAGCGTTTTTCCCGATGGGATTGCCCTTTGATACGCCTTACCTCGATTTCTTGAGTTATGTAACTTTTGAGTACCATATTATATGTTTATAATCCGAGTCCCTTCCATAAACGAACAGCCCATCCTTTGTACAGCATGAACTACTCACTATTATTATTTGTGTATAGTTTTTTCGATGCAATAATTGAAATTATGAATGTTGTGCACAACTTGAACTTGCTGACTCCGGTTCACAAAAATATATGTTGCTGCAAACCACAGAAGTTTGCTTCAACAAATTAACTGTAACAGGAGAAAGAGAAAATGTAACGGCCAGACCGTGGTTTGAACCTGAGACCCTCCAAAATCTAGACGGACTCTCTACCAGTTGAGCTACCTGGTCACCAACGAGCAACCCAGTCCAGTTCCGCTACATTCCTCCCTCTTTTTTCTAAGTCTTCTACCCCTAAGACACAGCTATTTACAACCAAAATACGAGTTATCCCTTTGCTAAGCGTATTCCCAATGCTTGAAACAAGTGTTAATTTGGCAAGCTTGCCAATTTTGTAACAGGAGATTAAGAGAAAATGTAACGGCCAGATCGGAGTTCAAACCCGGGACCCTCTGAATTCTAGACGGACACTCTGCCAAAAGCAATTGAGCTATCTGGTCGCTGTTGATCAACCCAGTCCTGTTCCGCTATATACATAACCCTAAATCCGTGTTTTTCTGTTAACGTTGTACTGTTTTAATGTACAACAGACTGATTTCCTGGTCACTTTAGTAAGACAAATCTGATTTTACATAACAGTGTAGTTCCCACTGGATCTGATTGTTTAAATGTTCAATTCGCTCTTTTACAGATGTGGATAACTTTCTACAGGAGACGCTGAAAAATGAAAAACTTTCTAAGTCATCTACAGAGCATCGACAATCCCTGCTGGACAAAATCAACAAAATCCTGGTCGAGTATCCGCAATTAGCCCCTGAGAAAAACAAAACAGGTAAAGTTTAATTTACCTATATATCTACTGTAACTAACTTAGCCCCTGAAAAATAAAACAGGTAAAGTTTAATTTACCTATATATCTGCTGTAACTAACTTAGCCCCTGAAAAATAAAACAAGAAAAGTTTAATTTACCTATATATCTACTGTAACTAACTTAGCCCCTGAAAAACAAAACAGGTAAAGTTTAACTTACCTACATATCTACTGTAACTTAGCCCAGGAGAAAAATAAAACAGGTAAAGTTTAATTTACCTACATATCTATTGTAACTTAGCCCAGGAGAAAAATAAAACAGGTAAAGTTTAATTTACCTACATATCTACTGTAACTTAGCCCAGGAGAAAAATAAAACAGGTGAAGTTTAATTTACCTATATATCTACTGTCACTAACTTAGCTTAGCTAAAAATGAACAAATTGTTTATAGATTTCTTCGACAATAAATGACAATGTTTCAGAACAATTTATGTATTTAATTCACAACTAGAAGTGACCTAAAATACTTTGCCGATGCTATGAATATATGATTAGTCCAGAGGGTTTCCCTTCAACAAGGAAATATTCCATACAACCTTTTTATGCTTCAGTATATATAGGTACACTGTAAATTAAACAGAATCATGGCCCTGGAAAAATAAGGATATATCTATGAATTAAAGAAATCTTAGTTGTTTTGAATTTTTTCTGTTATATTGTCTTAACAGTTTACAGAAATATGTGCTTTAACACGTTATGTCTTAACTTGTCAAAGTCTAAAAATCAGGCTTTAGTTATTTTTAGGTGAATGGCAGGTGGATTTATTTCTAATAGATTTTTTTGGAGGGTAGGGGCTTGGATTGAGGCTAATGTCAGGGCCCATTGGGTACTGAAAACTTTGAAAATTTTGGGAAATAACATATATCAGCCCGGGAAAAGGCTACCAGTTTTATGTAGATTGTTGTCGTTCTAGCAATTAATGCAGATATTTGACTTTTATTCTTGGTTTTAAATTATCAGTAGAAAATTAAAATTACCAAATGATAGAGAGCTAGGTGATTTATACATTGATGCTTATGATGATAGTTTACATAGCTAAAAATTATAGCAAGTAACAAATTTAATTTGCCTTTTTTATGCAGGTGAGATATTTTGTGGCAGAAAATGTGAAACGCTTTATTAAATGATGAATTGAACATGTTCACATGTCTGTAAATGTCACATGTTTATAACATTCGCACTTCTATAAAGGCAAAGGTCACCTGTCTATAAAGGCAAAGGTCACCTGTCTATAAAGGCAAAGGTCGCCTGTCTATAAAGGCAAAGGTAACCTATATATAAAGGTAAAGGTCACCAGTGTATAAAGGTAAAGGTCACCAGTGTATAAAGGTAAAGGTCACCAGTGTATTAAGGTAAAGGTCACCTGTCTAGAAAGGTAAAGGTCACCTTTATATAAAGGTAAAGGTTACCTGTCTATAAAGGTAAAGGTTGCCTGTCTATAAAGGTAAAGGTAACCTATATATAAAGGTTAAGGTCACCTGACTATAAAGGTAAAGGTCACCTGTCTATAAAGGTAAAGGTCACCTGTCTATAAAGGTAAAGGTCACCAGTGTATAAAGGTAAAGGTCACCTGTCTATAAAGGCAAAGGTCACCTGTCCATAAAGGTAAAGGTCACCTGTCTATAAAGGTAAAGGTAACCTATATATAAAGGTTAAGGTCCCCTGACTATAAAGGTAAAGGTCACCTGTATATAAAGGTAAAGGTAACCTATATATAAAGGTTAAGGTCCCCTGACTATAAAGGTAAAGGTCACCTGTTTATAAAGGTAAAGGTTGCCTGTCTATAAAGGTAAAGGTTGCCTTTCTATAAAGGTAAAGGTTGCCTGTCTATAAAGATAAAGGTCACCTGTCTATAAAGGTAAAGATCACCTGTCTATAAAGGTAAAGGTTACCTGTCTATAAAGGGAAAGGTCACCTGTCTATAAAGGTAAAGGTTACCTGTCCATAAAAGTAAAGGTCACCTGTCTATAAAGTTAAACGTAACCTATATATAAAGGTTAAGGTCACCTAACTATAAAGGTAAAGATCACCTGTCTATAAAGGTAAAGGTTACCTGTCTATAAAGGGAAAGGTCACCTGTCTATAAAGGCAAAGGACACCTGTCCATAAAGGTAAAGGTCACCTGTCTATAAAGTTAAACGTAACCTATATATAAAGGTTAAGGTCCCCTGACTATAAAGGTAAAGGTCACCTGTTTATAAAGGTAAAGGTTGCCTGTCTATAAAGGTACAGGTCACTTGTCTATAAAGGTAAAGGTCACCAGTGTATAAAGGTAAAGGACACCTGTCTATAAAGGCAAAGGTCCCCTGTCCATAAAGGAAAAGGTCACCTGTCTATAAAGGTAAAGGTTACCTGTCTATAAAGTTAAAGGTCACCAGTGTATTAAGGTAAAGGTCACTTGTCTATAAAGCTAAAGGTCACCTGTCTATAAAGGGAAAGGTCACCTGTCTATAAAGGCAAAGGACACCTGTCCATAAAGGTAAAGGTCACCTTTCTATAAAGGTAAAGGTAACCTATATATAAAGGTTAAGGTCACCTGACTATAAAGGTAAAGGTCACCTGTTTATAAAGGTAAAGGTTGCCTGTCTATAAAGGTACAGGTCACTTGTCTATAAAGGTAAAGGTCACCAGTGTATAAAGGTAAAGGACACCTGTCTATAAAGGCAAAGGTCACCTGTCCATAAAGGTAAAGGTCACCTTTCTATAAAGGTAAAGGTAACCTATATATAAAGGTTAAGGTCACCTGACTATAAAGGTAAAGGTCACCTGTTTATAAAGGTAAAGGTTGCCTGTCTATAAAGGTAAAGGTCACCTGTCTGTAAAGGTCACCTGTCTATAAAGGTGAAGGTTACTTGTCTAAAAAGTTCATCTGAGTCACCTGTCTTATTTAAAAGTCACCTGTCTATAAAAGCCAACCTCTATATTGATACAGTCGTGTGACCTGCCTTATTAATTTGTTAAATTGTATATTCATAACTGTTGTAAAAAAAAACTGTTCACTGATTATGCTTTCTAACTTGGAAGGTTTGACACTTCCCAAGGGGAAAGGGGCTACATTTCAGTCCCTACAGAAAGGAACAGAAAAAACACACAAAAAGCCATGTCACTAAAAAGCATCATTATGTACAATAAACACTTTCTCTTGTTAAATAAAAAAAATTGTGAATCTCTGTTGAAACACAACTCTCATATTTTTCCAGCACTGATATTTTCTTACATTTATTCTGTTATCACACTTCTAGCTTTGAATTCGTCCTCTCCGTCAGCATGGTCTGTTTGGAAAAACAGGCTGTCAATGTCTTTCCTCGGTAAGAGCCTGTTTCATTGGCTGATGCTGCATGACAGAAGCCAATCAGGAATCGTGTTATATTTTTTCTTTAAAGTTTTTGCTATATTTTCCCAATATTTGGATCATATTGATGTTGTATAAGTAATCGTCGTCTGTAGTTTTAGACTAGACCAGCATTTGTGTAGTCTGGATTACCTAAAACAGTCCACAAAGTTTGTGTGTATTAAATACCGTTTTTACTGTTATTGACCCTAGATCAGGTCAACATATGTTTGTTTTAACCTGAATAAAGGCCATACTGTTTCCTAACTATCAAATCAGCAATTGTTTTTATTTGATAAACTTCATTATCATATATACTTGTCCGTGATATGGGTTGGGATACTTGTCCGTGATATGGGTTGTTTTGCATGACTGTTTTTTGTGTGATATTGCTAGCTATGTATAAGTTATATTCCAGACCGACCCATATCCGCCTGGCACACACAAATTCTGTTTAACTTCTGGTTCAACACTTTTCAGAAAAATCATACCTCATACTAGTAGTGTACGCACAGCATATATACCCGTCTGTATTCGCTAAACTGTTCTTTGTGTTTTAGTTCAGGTAGAATGTGATAAGAGTTAACTCATTCACCCCTGTAAACACATTTAAACTCTTTCCAATGCAAATGTTGGAATAGTTCATCATGAAATTTCAGGGGTAAATGAGTTCAGCTCATGAACTATTCATTTTCTGTGTTTATGTGTTATTTTTAATAATTTTGATGTTATAGAGCAGTATATATGATAAAAAGGTTTCCATCTTTTGGTATTATGACCATTTCCATAATCAACTCTGTATCAGCCCTCCACACATATGTATCAGCCCTCCACACATATGTATCAGCCCTCCACACATATACATCAGCCATCCACACATATATATCAGCCCTCCACACATATATATCAGCCCTCCACACATATATATCAGCCCTCCACACATATATATCAGCCCTCCACACATATATATCAGCCCTCCACACATATATATCAGCCCTCCACACATATATATCAGCCCTCCACACATATATATCAGCCCTCCACACATATATATCAGCCCTCCACACATATATATCAGCCCTCCACACATATATATCAGCCCTCCACACATATATATCAGCCCTCCACACATATATATCAGCCCTCCACACATATATATCAGCCCTCCACACATATATATCAGCCCTCCACACATATATATCAGCCCTCCACACATATATATCAGCCCTCCACACATATATATCAGCCCTCCACACATATATATCAGCCCTCCACACATATATATCAGCCCTCCACACATATATATCAGCCCTCCACACATATATATCAGCCCCACACATATATATCAGCCCTCCACACATATATATCAGCCCTCCACACATATGTATCAGCCCTCCACACATATACATCAGCCATCCACACATATGTATCAGCCCTCCACATATATATCAGCCCTCCACACATATATATCTGCCCTCCACACATATATATCCGCCCTTTGGCTAATATATCTGGGAGTCTTGGCTGATACACTGAGTAGGATATCAAAATAGTTATATGATTGAAATGAACCAATGAACAACAAAAACAATCAACAATGTCTTTTTCTTCAGACTAATCATGTGTGGTTTTGGTTTATATTCACAGTTACATAAAAGGGTACAACAAATAGAGGTTCCCCAACAATGGCTGGTTATCATGTTTAGCTCGAGTTAGTTAATCTTCAAATTGGATAAAGGCACAAGGTTTACCGAATGTCTTTCACATTTTGAAAATTTAAAACTAATGAGAGTTAGCTAGATAAACGTGATAACTAATCATCACAAGTTTGGGGACCTGTTTCTACCATAACGTTCGTATTTTATCTGGAAAAAGCGCATTTTCCCCTTGGAAAATACATCATATGTGTTTCCAATTTGGGAAACAATGGCCATGAAGCATGACGTCACAATGGAAAATGAGGTCGTAAAGCATTGTTACGTAACGTCATCAATCAAAGATTGACCATTGAAATCACGTCCAGGGTGTTACCCAGTAGTGGGTAACCAAAATTGTTTACCCACTCCTGGCAGGTTTATCCAATGAGACATGGTGAGGAAACCCAGCTACTAGTGGTTGTTGGAGACATATCACTTACCTTGGTATTTTGGTCTCTCAGAAGACTGAAATGTTAATTGGTAGTATTTATAAAGCCCACTTACATGTCGTAAGTTAGTAGTGTTATTGGTTTATGAAGGTAATATGGGCTGACATTTATATTACCTGAGTGTGTTCCTATAGCCCCATGCCATTATGTCTTTGGTAATATGGCATTCGTTTTTCGGCGGCGGAATCACTTCACCTTATTTCGTCACATGTTAGAAAAAAAGACTTGGAGGTAATTATAGGTGTATGATGAATACTCCTCGATTTGATAATCTTAGCAGAATATTTGAAGTAGTGAGGTAAAGTGTAAATTGGAAATAAATGAAGCAAATATATGAAATTTGTTACTTAAATCCTTTCATTCAAAAATATTGAAAATCTGAAGAAGGATATGTATGTAACACATGTGTGACATGTTTTAAGAAAATCTCCAAATAAGATTATGTGGAAGATCTGCGAATCTCTGCGGAATTCTAAGACATAATGTGCAAATCTTACTGCCAACACCTGGGGCCGCGGTGGCCAAGTGGTTAAGGCGTCTGACATTCTGCTACCACTAGCTGGTATAGCCCTCCACCACTGGGTCGCGGGTTCGAGGCCGACGTGGGGCAGTCGCCAGGTACTGGCCGTAGGTCAATGGTTTTTCTCCGGTCTCGGTCTTTGAATGACCATAGATGTTAGTAGGACATAAAACTCAAATAAACCAAAAAACTGCCAACAGTTGCATCGATCAAATCCTATGACATACAAAAATATGTCTGGAATGTAATTTTCAAAGGCCTTCTTGTCATTGATAGCATTAAACATTGTACCCATTGTCTCCCTGCATGCACAACTGCAAGCTGTAATGTTTATGCCTGTTGAGCGATAACAAATCTTCTACTTGCCTCCAATGTTATTTCACATTAATGGCTGAGCATGGTCAGATTGTTCTTATTTGCATAAAGCCTGAGTAACAAATTTGTTTTATTAAAAAACTTATATAATGTGTAAGAGTATATACCCTTAATTCTAACACAAATCACAGGTTTGTAATGTGTAAGGTAGTTACACCCTTAACTCTAACACAAATCTGACCCACCTGTGTTGATTTTGGTGGTAAATTTTATTTTTGGGAGATAAGCATGAACCAAAATTGAAATATCCAAGATGGCTACTGGTCAAAGTCACCGATATTACAAACATGTATACTTGTTTACATTTCCATCGTGTTAATTTTTATTGTTAAGAGCATGCATTTTTTTCTGAATATTCTTTTTAATAATGCCATATTTCCAGGTCCAAAAATCAAAGGTGGCCACTGTCTGTTATTTCTTATATTTAAGTTTTAGCCTGAGTTTTATTATGACACCTGTATGATGTGTCACTATGACACCTGTATAGTATGTCACTTTGACAACTTGATGATATGTCACTATATTTACATTTGCATGGCATTGTCACTATATAGCCTCTTTGAAAGCTGTGTCGTTGATGGGACTTTAATTACTATGCATCACGAGACACAATTCTTAGCGTATTAATACAACACTGACCAGAACTACAATATCCAATATAAATAAACATGACGGCTGCCGAAATATCGCTGGGCATTGTGAGATTTGACAATGCCATTGTAAATTTATGTGCAAAATAAAAAAAAAATTAAAAACACTTTTATTACAACGAAAACAAGACCTACTGATATGAGTCACAGCACACATAAACATTTCAGACATTTGTAACGAACCTGTGCTCCGTCGCAAGATCACTCACTTCAAATGCTATCTTTCACGCGTCTTGCATCCACCATTCCTCAGTTTCTGACGACATGTCAAATAACGAGGATGTTATAGAATCTACCGACTGTTGTCAGGTTCCCATACAATCAACAAATACATTCACGCCTGGATTCTTCACAAAATGAGCAAAGAGAAAAGTTCGAATTAACTTCCAAAAATAACTCCCTCGTGGAGGGCAAGGTCGGATTTACGGTGTTCACTGTATTTGTCCATG